CAGCCCTTACAATTCCATCATCTTGGTGTGGGGTGGTAGAAGCCATCAGGACAACCCTCAGGGTCTGTGCTGCCGATGGCTCCAGCCCCACAGCGTCAATGCTCCTGTGTCACCCGTGGCCCCTTAACTCTGACCAGGAACTGTCTGCGCTGCCTCAGTGCAAAGATAATGCAGAAAAATGTCAAGGATTGAAAGGGGTGTTGACCCCACAGCCACTGATCTGGCTCTGACAGCATTTGAAAAACAGAGTTCAGTTTCTGACTCCATGGACAGCTTCATTTTAACAGTGACAGTAACTCAAAGAATGTTTTCTTATAAACTATGGGGTCAGAATCACCACTTAAAGAATTGTCTCCTCCCATAACGTAAGTATGAAAATATTTTATCATTCTGCTAAGTACATTTTTTTCTCTCCATGGGAAGATGGTTTATTTGTGTAGCTTTTAATGTAAATCACATACACAAATTCCCTGCACATCTAAATCACAGTCTATCCTACAATCTTTGACACTAGGAATTTCTGCAGCATGGGGTGTGAGAATGTCTAGATGTCCTATATGCCAGTGGAAATATGTAAATTACTTGGAAAATGGATGGCAGAATTTTATGTTGGATACATGATCAATCAAAAAAAGTGAAATTTTGTATCGTATTAAGCAATGTTATATGTATTCCTTCCATTTTTCATGTTTGTTTTCCCAGCATTAGGGTTTTCTTCTTTCAGCCATTGAAGATGCCATTGTTTCCTGTGGTGGTAATAAGGAGAAAAAAATGAAAAATTGCTGTTACTGGTAAAGAAAAAAAAAAAAAAAAAAAAAAGAGTCAGGCCATCCTAACTGGGGTCTTACATTCCTGCACCCTGAGAAAATGAGAATATGCTACCAAATACTGAGGTAATTTCCTAATCAGTATGCAAAAATCAAATGCTCAAAAAACTTTACAATTCTCTATTAACTGGGGAGTCCCATGAAAATACTTGGTTTAGTCACAGGCAGTACACTTCAACTCTGGTCACCTCATCTTTGTGCATAAATGAAAGGTGATAGTAAAAATAAAATATAAACAAGAGGCTAGCAAGGATGAAGGAATGGCTTGTGCTTGAGAAGAGATTAAAGCTCCCAGTGTGGTTCATGTTGGAAAGTGACTTGGAAAGAAGGGAAGGTGAACAGTCTGACTTATCATGAACAGGGAACAATTTGTCATTGCACAATAACTAAGTGATTACAGGCACTCATGGCTGTCAGGCCCCAGACTGTTCAGCACAGAGTGTAATTTCAAGCCTTATCTCTTATGGTGAAAAATTTGACCTCATACTATCTCAGATGCTGAAAAATACTCATGGTTTCCAGAGGCAGTGAGGGTGATTGCAGGAAGAAAGGCTGGAAGGAGATGTCCTGCGTGGTGACTGCAAATACCAGTTCTCTGAGGTCTTGGGTGAAGCCCTGGATTCATCAGTGACACTTCAGAAAGCCCAGGGATGTACATGTATGTCTGGATTGCCCAAAAGTTGTGGGTTTGAACCCAGAATCCAGCTGCTGCTCAGGTATCAGATCCAGGCACTGAACACGTCACTGTGTGTTGAGTTTCACCTGTTGTTCCTCCAGGACTTAAGCCCAGAGATGGATTCTCACTTCTGGCTGTAGTTAAGTCTCCTGGAAATGCTGTAACTCCATGCTGAGCTTTTGCCAGACATATGCACAAAGTGATTAAAGTTTAATTTGCAGTGAGTTTTTGAAGTGGACTTAAATTCCCTCCAGTACACTTGCTCCCACGTAATTCATCCTTGGCTCTGCTATGACAGCACATTTCAAACACATTATGGCTGTTATTCATTATTCTGCCTTCAAAGCAGTGTTCCTGAATTTTAGCTGAAGATTTATTTTGATATAAATTTTTTCAGAATGAAAGCAACTGATTGTTTCACCAAAAAAAAAAAAAAAAAATTGCTTTCTGCATTTGAACTCTGCTTTTCTACATGGAAAGAAAAAAACTCCAACCCTGAATGTTTAGTTATTCTGTAACCAGGCATTTCAGGTCAAAGACACTGAAGGGATCAAAAAAGATAAGCAAAATTAAAACACCAAGGTCAGACAAATTCTTCCCAAGAGTAGTGAAGACAAATCCGAGGAGGAAACAACACAAATCAGATCTTATCTCCATTCTGCTTCCTGGCCAAAGACGCTGCAAGTGTCTCCAAGAAGTAAAAAGAGATCTCCCATTAACCAGTGCCAGTGTTGTCAGGAGAGACACAGAACCAAAAAATACACCCTCGCTGGAGAGGAGCACTCCTGAGCACGTCTGTGGCTCTCTGGGAAAGGAGAGGATTACTGGGCACAAGAGCCAACTTTAACCAGGGGAAAACTGGTTTTATTTCTGTGTACATCATGCTGAGTCCTAAACATATCTCAGCCACCTACCTGTACATCAAGCCATGTAGAAAATTGGGATGTAAAGGAACTTTCTGGGGTTTTGCTGTCACCATCCTTATGTTACAGTCACCTCTTCACCATGGCCAGTGTCTCCAGCCCCCTACTCATAGATTGTTCTGCAGGGGCCAATGTCTTCTTTGTGCTTTCCCAAGGCCAGAGGGTTTGATTGTGAGACCACTTACTGCCCTATTCCTGTGCACCCTTTCCCTGGCAACAAAAAGCTCCCAAAGATGCTAGAAAAGTGTTCCCCACTGTGGTGGCACTTCTGAAAAGATCCAGCTGGAATTGAGAAGGAAACACAGCACAATTTGCCACGTGGTGGGATGTCCTGCCTGGACATGCTTCCAGCAGCAGGGAGCAGCTCTTGTTTCCTGGGGGATGCGTTTCTGAGATCTCTTCTGATCACTGCCAGGCTGAGGCTGAGCAGTGAAATGTCTCTGTTTGGGGAGCATGGGTGTTGGGTGATATTTCACAGGGGCTGCCCAGGGAAACTCTGGATGTGAGATGGGATTCAAAGGATTACTCACAATGGAACAAAGCTTCAATGCCAAAGATCATAGAGTCGTAGAATGGGCTGGGTTGGAAGGGACCATAAAGATCATCTCATTCCAATACCCTTGCCATGGGCAGGGACACCTTGCACTAGACCAGATTGCTCCAAGCCCTGTCAAACATGGCCTTGAACACTATTTCAAGCTGAAAGCCTCCAAGAACAGGACAAACATATGAATACTACAGCTACCACCTGCAGTTCAGCTGGAGCTAACCAGAGTTAGCTGTGTGTCCCAAGCCCATCGGTGAGATGCATCTCTCTTGCTTTGCAGTGTGCAGCTCCACCATGAATCAGGTAGTTCAGGGGGAGGAATCCTCCTTTCCCAATGTGGCTGTCACAAAAAGTAGCACATCAGTCTGCAGAGCCTCTTAGCAGAGTATTGACTTAGCCAAGCATTACCAGTACCTGTGAAACTGGGATGGCAGAATCTCTGACTGGTGCTTCAAGCTTTGCATGCAAAGTAGTTTGCTCTGGTAAGATGCTCTGACAGCCTTAGAATGGCCATTCATTAAAAAAAAAAAAAAAAAAAAAAAGGATACTATCTGCTTTATCAGGACATGCTTCCTGTATGCAATGAGGAATGCAGAGTGAACATTATCATTTCTTTTAACTGAAGGGTAACTTATTACTGAGTGTCATTCTACTCAGCGTGCTCTTTTAATACTGATATGCCAATAACTTGAGCAAATAAAGTGGAAGTTGCTACAGCTCATTCTTTGGCAAAAGGTCATTCACCTCGTGCTGTAAATGGTCCCACTAAAGAGGTGTGTTTTTTCAGGGGCTGGAGTGTACCTCACCTGTTGAACTGGCCTTCACACATGACTCAGGAGCAGAGTGAATCACAGCTCGTAGCAGACCCAGAGCAGGAGCACAGGGAACCTCGTATTACCACGGTGCTTGGAGGAGATGTCTTCGGATGACAGGGCTTAAAGAAGAAATGTAGCTTCCTCTCTGCTGGGAACTCCACGTTTCTGGTGAGTTAGCAGAGATTAACGGGCATTCCTGCTGCACTGGCTGCTGGGTTAATTTATAGCTATCTGTAAAGAAAGGCTTATTTATTTATTCCAGTTAGAAAGCTTGAATCCTTGGAAATTTTAAGTGAAGGCAGACTTTTTAAGGAAAGACTGTCTGAATAGTGAGTAAGAAGCTGACTGAGGTAACTCCTGCATATTAAAGCAGTCAAAGGAAAATGTGTAATATAACTTAGATTTGCTCTTTAGCTTTTTTTACTTTACAGAGGTTAAAAAATAGCACAGACTGCCTTCTTGCCTAAGTATTTTAAATATTAAACAATTCCTTGTGTTCCTTAATGGAGTTCATACCTTAATGTACCTTTATAAACCATACCATCCATTTGCATGTCTGTGGTGTGATATTGTATTTATATCCTCTATGACTCCCAAAGACAGGACATCCCACTTTAATACTGTATATGAAATAACTGACCCATTTTAATGCAATCTGCTAAGATAGGACAACCACCAGAGAGAGAGTCTGGATGACAAGAGGAGACTAATTTAAAAAGACTGAGATATTCTAAATGCATTGTCCCATACTGTGTAGTGAGTTTTGAATATGGAGCCCAGAAGGACATTATCATCTCAGCAGAAGCTGCACTTGATGATCTTTCCAAAAATTTCCCCCCATCTTTACTTAAACCAGTATAATATGTATCTAAAGACTTCTCATTTGCAGAATAAGGGCAAAACGTGTCTTGGCGAGCAACTGTGAATATCAGAGCTGACAGAAGCCAAGCACAGGGTGGATTCACAGCACCACGTGCTGTGCTCTGGCTGCAAAGAGTCCACGTGCGGCTGTGGACGTGTGTGCTCCTATGTTCCCACATGGCACAGCCCCCATGCTGGATTATGCCAACCTTTAGAGCACCAATCCCTCAGCTCTGCCTTCTGCATGTGATATGTCTCAGAACTTGAAGGGCTTCCATTATGAGAAAGGTTTTTACCATTGAAGTGCTGGGATCAATGCATAGAGCAAAAAGCAGTCCCTTGACATTTTCCTGTAATATCTTGAGATTTCATTGAATGCTAACAAAGTCTACAGACCTGCAGGAGGATTTGAAATAGCATTGTTGTGTGACTCTGTGACTCTTTGTTCCTGAAATACATAATACTGTACAGATTTTGCAGCTTTTGATGTTTAAAATCCCATTTGCAAGAAGACAGAAATTACAAAGACATTCAGGAGTCAATATAAACTCAAAATAACACAGGTAAAATGTTTCTTGAGAGGCACTGGCCTCTTTGTTCTTTCTGCCTCTTTCCATATGAGCATAAAACGCATGAGCTCTCTCTCATTTGAGCTTTCCCTGTTGCACCCAAGCTGGGAAGCAACCTCAGAAAGGGTCTTGGGTGCCTTCAGTGGGAGAGGAGACCAAAGTGCACGCTTGGAGTTGCAGAGACCGGGATCTAAGGGCTCATCCTTGTCCATCAGCCACCAGAGTCGCTGCTGAGATGTGCAGGGAGGGGAGCAGTGGGGAAGAACATCTCCCACGCTGTCCCAGCTGGTCTCGTGGAGCTTCCCCACACTGGGATGTGGGCAGCAGGGCAGAGCAGCTGTGTGGCGGAGGCTGGAGGAGATGCCTTTAACAATCTCTTCCTGAATTAAACTAATTTTGTTAATGTGACTTAGATATAAAAGATCTCTAAAATAACAGAAGTTTTAAACTCTTTTACTTAAATGTCCTGTTAATACACAGTAAGTATCCATTCTGCTGCTGCGTTTTACCCACAAAGTTCTGGCCATCCATGTCTGGGGAGATTTGGCTGCTGGTTACTACTTGATGAAGTAGCAAAGTACTTCCAGCAGCTTTCCAGCATCCCTGCTGTGCACAGACACCAGGAGGTAGCCCATAGCTTATGAAACACCTTAGGGGAAAATCAGCAACATGCTTGTCAAATATTCCTCTTCGAGCAAATGATTACTCTGAAGCCTTGCACAGCAAGATTTAACACATTCAAGTGCCACTTCTTATTAGGGTGCAGCTGACTTGTAACTTATTTTCATTGGCACCAATAACTTATTTCCTCCTTTTTGAGGGGTGATCCATGTAAATAAGCTAAAGGTTACCTGGATGGAAGGGTAATTGGCACACCTAACTGCAGGGAGCAGCTTTACCCGTATTTTCTGAAATACAAAGTGGACCGTGTAGTTGAGAGTCCCCTCCTCAAAGAATGCTAGGAGGTGGTTTTCTGGCAGCAGGGAGTAAGCCTGAATGCCTGGTTAGCTATAAAATGTGAACTTTGAATTGTGAAGACATTGAGAATGGGGGGGGAAATAGTAGCAATCATTAGGTCCATAACCGACAGGACAAATGCTTCCCTGAGGAGTCAGCAACAGTGCTGTTGACACGCCTGGCACAGTGGAACATGCTTGGGAGCAAGTTTCAGACAGCACCAGGCCACACAGCAAAGGCAGGTAAAAGCTGGGAGTATCAGACTGACGTAAAAGTCTTCATATAATAATTAATGGCCTGTGGGGCCAGAATGTCTGAGGGATGCATGTGTGTTGTGGTGACACTGACCTGCCCGAGGGTGATGGCCAGCGAGCAGTGGGCTGGGGAGAGCCACCTCAATGTCTCACCAGGACAGCCAGGAGCCCCTGCTCAGGGCAGGTCCCTTCCAAGGACTCTGAAGAACTAATTTGGACAAGCAGCCATAAAAGTTGTATTGATGCCACTAATAAATGAGGGACTAAAGGTCAGGGAGGACTTTGTGTTTCCCTGAGGGATGGGAAACACCACAGCCTCAATGGCAAGCCAGCCTCGCCTCCTCCTGGAGCTCAGCCTTCCACTTCCTCATCTCCACACCCATATTCTGCCATCCATGGGTTGGCAATAGGTTGTCACATGCAAAGTATATGTTCTCTGGAGATTATGGCAGGGGAACAAGCAGGGAAGCTTTGTTAGCTGGGGAGGGGCTGGCTCACAGCAGCTGAGCTCACATCTGTACAGGTTCACCTCGGCAAGGAGTCCAACCCGGGCAGCAGACGCTGTGCCAGACCCCCTCTGCTGTCAGCTTGGTGGTCCAGGGATTCCTGCACCCTGTCCTGGCAGGTCAGACTCACGTTCTCAGGAGGAAACAGACACTGGGGTACATGAGATCTCCTCTCTGAAAAGAGCTGAGTAGGGAGGGGAATCAGGTTCTCTCTCAACTTCTTAGTTTCTCTGTATTTTGCAGGCATCTCCACGCTGAAGAAATACTGTGAAGGCGTGATCCCTCCCACCCGCATATACAAATATGAAGTTCTTCTGGATAATCCCATTTTTCCTGCTGCAAGGTAGAGTCTTAGCTTAAAGGATAATGGTGTGGGTAAAGTAGGTCATATGTGCAAAGACCTTAACTTCCTGGAAATACAGTTTCTTTCTTTCTATGGGGCTATTTTCCTCAGTATACACCAGCAGCAGCCTGAGTGAGCCAAGTAAAAAATTGCACCCCAGTTCCTGAACTGGGTGTCATTCCCATCTGCATTCTGTGCGTATGTTCTGTGCTTGGAGTTGGCAACATTTATATGTTGGTTTCTTTGCAGACACTGAAGATTTTGATAAAAAATGCTAGAGTCAAGTTGTGTATACAAGCTGGTCTGATGAATAGGAATTTATTGCTGGAGGACTGTGGTCCAGAGTCAGATTTCCAGGACTGGTCTTGGCAATGCAACTCTTTGGTGAATTGTGGCACACGGAGCTGCCTCTCCTTGGTGGGAGATGAGGAATGTGGAAAGGCCCTATCAGCATTCTGAAGTCTTTGCAGCCCTGCTGCCTCACCATAATGGGGTCTGCAGCCAAAAACACTTTCCACTTCCCACTGCATGAGATCAGGCTCAGGGCTGAGTTCTGCCTGCTTGGAGAGATGTGCTGGGCAACCCTGGGAGTGAAGGGGAAGGTCACTTCCAGTCTGAAGGGCTGCAGGAGTGACTATTGCATCTTTCCACCACAGCTGAGGCAGAGCACAAGTACCTCCCAACCACCCTGGCCAGCACACACGCGGACGAGCACACAGCAGGCAACGTTACCCTTCCACTGGGCTTGGAACAGGAACAGCTGGAGGAGCTGCTCTGGTTCTTCCGCAGAGAAGACCGTAAGTCCAATTGGTGCTCCTGGGCTGAGGCACAGGCTTTGGCTGTTAACTTTCTTGCCTAACAGAGATGCCTGAGGGCACTGCCTGAGGAGGTGATTTACCCCAGACACACAAACCCTCAGTTTTGCCTCTGGAATAAGCAGGCCATAGGTGAAGACAGTCAGGAGGCTTTGCTGAGATAGTGCCTCTGGGGTTCAGCCTCTTTCCAGGCAGAGCCTGCCAAGAGAGCAAAGGTCTCTTGTGATTTTGGCAGGGTGGAGGGAGCAGATTGACATAGCAGCAAGTCAGCGTCATGAGGATCAACTTCAAAGCTACAAAAATCGAGGACAGAGCATCTTGGATGTCCTCAGAAAACCCCTGGCCAGGCTCTGTGGGTCACACTGTGCTGCCTGCTAACACTGCCTCTCTGCTTTCCCTCAGCCTCAACATGGAATTATTCCGTTCTTGCGCTTTCCCTCGCGACCATGATTTTGGGTCTTGTTCTTCTGACCATTAACATTGTGCGAAACAGGTGAGACAGGAAAATTTGAGAATCTTTTGGTGTGTGGTGGTGCCCTGAAAGCCTCCCAGGCAAACAGACACAGGGGTTTGGCAGGGCAGGAGAAGCCCTGAGTAATGGGGAGAAGAGCAAAGACAAACTCCCTTTGAACCATTTTTTGTTATAAAAGCTTGCCTGATGCCTGTTCACTTTGTGTCACTTGGAACAAGCCCCTTCTCTGGGCCCTGGATCAAGTAAAGGTCTGCAGAGCTCTGCCCAGCCCAACAGGGCTGCTGGGAGGGAAGTGATGATAACGGTGGTGTGAAATGCTCTCCCCTAAGTACACGGGCTCTGAAGTAGGACTCCCAGCCTATCCACATCCCCACACGGTTCCCCGGTTGCTGCACAACCCCGCAGCTCAGAAGCAACTCGCTGTTTGCTAAGGCACAAATACTTAGCACTGCTGCGAGCCTGCCTCGCTCTCCCTCTAGTGATGGCTGGCTGCGTGCTGCTCCTGCCGTCAGGAGCTGGGTAGAGCTGGGTGCTCTCCGAGTGCGAATCCCACATCTGTGAGTGCTCAAACACTCCAGAGCACTTACCTGGCACAGCTCACCTGGTGGCGTTTGCCCACAAGCAGTTGGTGTGTCCAGGAACACGGTGTAAAGTGATGGCTGTGACCCTCACCAGGCTGGGTGCCCTCAGATGTGGGCTGGGCTTGCTGCTTCACTCTGTGTGTCCTGATTGTGCCTTCCCTGCAGGAAAAGGAAGATCCTTGTGAATGGAGAGGCAGCACAAACCACACAGGAGACTGACCTCGATGCCAAGCAAGCCCTGATGCCTGTGCAGGAATACAGCCAGGTTCAGTCACTACAGCAGCAGCCAGGGCCCCAGGACCAGAGACCAGGGGATGTGACGGTCCAGTGGAAGGACGGGACTGTCACGTCCCTGTACACAGTGATGTCTGAGGAGGCCATATAGTGGCAGCTGGAATCAGCCCATTTAGACCTTAAGGAAGATATCAGAATGTCTCAATTCACAGACGTGCAAGTTTAAAAATGCAGTTTAGCCTGGAGAAAGAAAAGGGTGAAAAAAGAAAGCAGCAGAGTTGCACCTGCAGGAGGGGCCCTGGGCTCAGCTCCTGCCTGGCTGGTGTTCCCCCACTGCTCTGGCTGCTTCTAGCCTTACCTCCAGTGCCAGCTTTGTCTCCTTCTTCAGGTACTGCAAACAGGTGGGACCTGAGCCAGGGAAGTAAGTGGGAAGCTTGGCCTGCAGTCAGCCAGGGAAAGCACCCTCACATCCCATCAGGAAAACAGCAACACCGAAGCTGAGACATTTTTTTTTCTTCTTTTCAGAATCATCTTTATTAAAATACTTTCCAAAGTGGTTGATCAAAATGACATATTAAATCTCTCTGTCAGTAAGGTCATATATATATATATTTATATGGCTATATGTACAAATATACACATGGATATTTTACTCTGCAAAGTAACTGCAACTCCATGGAGAAGCAGAACATTTAGTCTGATAGAGCACCTGAAACCAAATGTCCAGTCCTTGACCCTGGCTCAGGCACAGGTAGAGCCTGGTCTGCTCCACGATTCCCTTTGTGTCCTCCACTGGACACGTGTAGAAGCCATGACATAATTTAGGACATTATTGGAAATAATTTTAAACACAGACTTTGCAGACCATGTCCTTGTCAGCAAAGAATCTCTTTGCAAAGACTTTGGAAAGGGATGCTATAGTGTAAAATAGTTGAGCAAAAAAGCAGCAATTTTGGTGTGACTTAGCTTGATGTGTGAGTATCAGTTTCAGGCCACCTTAGGCCTTTAAGCAGCTGAAACAGTATCTGCACCTTTTTTTATCTGGATTTAACAAAAAATAAAAATTCCTCCTACTTATTGCTTAGTCAGGGATCTGTGGGATGAACGAGATGGGTGCCTCCATGCTGGATTAATGATTAGTTCCTCATTCCTGGGCTCCTGTAGCTGTGGGCCAGGTGCCCAAGCTGGCTGGTGGCCATGGGGTTGGCCCTTCCCCTCCCAATGGTATCCACAGCTCTGGCTCCTCCGGGAGCTGTTGCATCCTCACAGAAAACTGGGCTGGCCCCGGTGGCAGTGGCAGGACAGGGTGCAAACACCACAGCAGCACCGGGCAGGGGCAGGCAGAGCGGTGCCACAGCCCATGTCAGACCCTTGGCACTCTGCCTGCTCGCCAGGTTGCCACTGCTGGCTTTGCCCCGGCACGGAGACCGGGGCCACCGTCTGCCAGCGGCTGCTGCAGTGCCTGTGAGTCCATCATGGAAGGTCCCAGCTGCTGTGGAGCTGGGGGGTGGATGAGGGTCTCTCTCCTCCCTCTCTGCAGCCCACAGGGATGTGTCCTAAAATATCTTGAAGCCTTTCAGCAAGGTGAGCGTGGGCGCCTTCCTTTTGCTCTGAGCCCGTGAGGACTTGACGGTGACCAGCTTGGCCTGGGCCACCGAGGGGATCTCCTTGTAGCTGACAGGGGAGAGGGTGTTGAAGGTGCAGGTGGCCAAGCTGTGGTGGGTGGGCAGGGCCACCGGCGTGGCCACGGGTGGGCAGGGCCGCTCCTCAGAGATGAAGAGTGGCTGCACGGGAAGGTTCCACTCCGCCTGGCGCCGCACCTCCCGCACGGCCTCGTGGAAGACGTGCTGCACCCGAGAGAAGTCCTGGCACGCTGACACCTCATGGAAGAGGCACCCAAACCTGCTGGCGAGGGACATCCCTTCTGCTGAGAGCACCTGCCTGGCGAGAGGGGAGGGGATGGGTGCAGGATCCCTTGGGGCACAGCAGCCACCCAAAAAAGGAGCAGGTAACAGATCGTGCATCCCATGCCTCCTTCCCAAAGAGAACCAAGGTAGCACCTGCCCATCCCTGCCCTGGGACAAGCAGGTACATGAGTCCAAAAGAGTTTTGCCTTTCACAAAATTCCAGAGTAATGGTCTCTGTGTCCCTGAGGAATCACACAGCTTCTCCTGTGAGGGATGTGTTCCAGGAACCCAGGGGTGAGTGTGATGACGGTGCACTGGGAAGCGAGGAGGAGGAGATGGGGCAGGTCCTTGCTGTGGGGATACCTCCATCATGGGAGCAAGAGGGTTCCAGCAATGCACGTGACTCAGGGGCCCGTGGGACCACAGAGCAGCACAAAAGGCCAGAAAAACATATTGGGCACATCCAGTCCTGGCAGTGGGGCTGGAACTAGAGGGCTCCAGGGAAGGGAAGGGCATGTCCAGAGGGGCTCCTCTGGCTCAAGCCCTGCAAGGGATGGTGACGCTGCCTCACCACTCAGCCAAAAAACATCCTACTGAAAATATCAACAGGCTCAAAATAAACACATCAGCCCTCAGGCAGGAGAACAGAAACTTTAGGGATGTGGGAGGATGTTGCAAATACTAATGGGGGTGGAAATACCCGTGAAGAAATCAGATTTGGGTTTTGCATCCCAGCAGGAGGGACGGGCATCTGTGAGCTCTCTCCCACGGGGAGCTGCAGCCTTACCACGTGCCCTGTACCTGTACTGCTCCATGTCCAGCTTGTTTCCCAGCAGGAGCACGGGGCAGCGGCGCTGGCAGCCCCGTGCGTGCAGGGCGAGCACCTCCAGGTAGCGCTGGCAGCCCTCGAAGCTCCTCCTGTTGTCGATGCTGTAGACAACCAGGAAGGCGCTGGCCCAGCACAGGTAACGCTCACAGTTCCTGGGGCCATCCTGGGGTGAGAGGAGTGGCTGAGCTGCAGTCCAGTCGTGGTCAAGTCATGGTCCAGCTGGTCATCACCCCCACAACGCCTTACCTGGTCAGCAGTGTCCATCACCTTCAAGAGCACAGGCTGCTGGTCCACCAGCTCCTCTGAGGAGTAGGTGTCCTCTGCAAGAAAAAGGGTGGTTGTGAGGATGGGCTCGCATATCCTGTCTTCTTCAAAGCCCAGGATGCTTGGGACACCATGGGAAAATTTCAGCCCTGATGAGGAGCATTCTCCCACCAATGCCTCCCACCGTACTCCTTCCTGAGACAACTTCATTTTGGGGGACTGGTGGTGATGTTGCTGGGCAAGCCTGGCTAGGAGCGCTTATTTCTCCCCACGTGCTGCAAGTGTGGGCTCCCACAGGAGGAGCAGGGAGGGGAAGGAGCTTGGCACAACAATCACTGCACCCAGGGCCTGGCCCTTATCTAAAAGCCATGGCCTAATGAGATAAAGCAATCTGGAGGCTTGACATGGGACTGTTTCCCAATAAATCAAGAGAGAAGAACAGTCCTTTCTTTTGGAAGGAGGGCAGGCAGGGAGAGCCGTTGAGCCATTCCCCCAGGAGAAAGATGCTTTCTTTAGGCCAGCTTTTAACGGATGTGTTTCGGAAAGGTTTTGACATGGGAAGATGAAACCACATTCCCAAAAATATCTAAGGAAGAAAGGATTTATCCTTCTTTCTAAGAGTCACTGAATTATTAGGGGCTGGAGTTGGTTCTTGGACAAGATCCACATCTCCTTAATGTCCCTGATAAATCATTTATGGTTCCTCCCCACAGCCTGGAGTCAGGCCTAGGAAAACAGTTATTAATTTCTCAAATGAGTTGAAAAAAAAAATGCCCAGAACTTCTCACTGCAAAACTCAGCCCCAGAGTCGCCTGCTGTGCACCCGTCCTCATTTCTTCAGCCTTTTCTCTGTGCAACAGACATGAGATGCTCCTGAAAGAGCCTCAAGAATTCAGCTTTTGGTTTTTTGGGGGCAATGCAAGGAGCCAACGTTCCCATGGGAAGTCCCCCTAGAGAGGGCACTGCTTTCACCTCTGTTTTTGCAGATGGCTTTGGGTCAAATCCAGCTCTTCTTGTTGTTTTTTATATAATTTTGGGTGGGTTGTTTTTTTTTTTTTTCTCTTTACATGCCACATTCATGGGAAACGTGGGAGATGGGAAGAATGCTCCATGGGATAAGGACGTGCCTTACTTACCCAAGTTGGGATCATATTCACTGATGAACCTCTTGGTTAGAAACTTCACGGTCAGAGCTACAGGAGGTGAAAGAGGCAGGTGAGGCAGGTGTCCCCTGACAGGCACTCCCCGATGCCCTGCCCTGCCCATCTCACCTGACTTGCCGGCCCCTCTGCACCCCAGGATGGCCACGTTGCACTCGGGGAGGGGACTCTGGGGCGGCCGCTCGCTGCTGTTTCGGGGTTTGCCGAACATCGAGGACATCCTCGGTCCTGCGGGAGAGAGCGGGGGGACATGGAGCACCCGCTGCCATGTCAGACAGGGACCTTCTCACTGTCTGGCTGGTGGGTGCCCCAGCCTGGGGTAGAGAACGGCTCAGCAGCACCAGGGTGGCGATCCCCTTCTTCCATCCGCATCCTGGAGCCAGGCTGGCATCCTCATCCCACAGTGGCATCCAGCCCCCCACCGAAAGAGAAGGACCCCCTCAGCCCATCACGCCCAGAAAGAGAAGAGAAACGCACCTTCCACCTTACAAGCCAGGGCCGGAGGGGACGCGGGGCTCTCCGTGAGCGCGGGGCCGGGGCAGCAGCGGCCCCTGCACGGCCGGGGCTGCGATGAATGAGGCAGGCGGAGGCGAGCGCGGCTCCCGCTGCTCGGGCTCCAGCCAAACTCCTTGTAAGGAAAGCTGCCACGCCGCGGGGCTGGACACGCTGCCCCGGCCACCCCGAGGACGGTCCCCCCGGCAGAGCACACGCCGGCACCCCGAGCTCCCCCGGCTTCGGGCAGTGAGACCTGCGGTGCCTCGGCTTGGTGGCCACCTCGCCATGTCCCGGGACTTTCGTGAGCCCTCAGCTCCTCGCCGTGTCCCCAGCAGCCCAAACCTGGTCCCTCTGTCCTGTCTGAGGCCGGCGAACTCATCACAGCCCCGGCAGGCAGGAGCAGCGGCCGGGCACCACCTGCCCGGCTCCTTCGGGCGCAGTTAAGCACCGACACCTCCTGCTCCCGGCAGAGGCTTTCGAGGCCGAGATTTTAAATGCCCTTTTCTCAACCAAAAGACTCGGTCCCAAGAGGAAGAGGGAGCCCGGGGAGTACTCACCAGTGCCCGTACCAATCCATCAGCCGGCACCCAGCGGCTCTGAGCCCGAGTAGGTGGCGGAGGCTGAAGTCAGCGTTGTCATGGTGATCGCAGCCTTTTGGGAGCACAGGATGCGGCCCCCGGGCCGGCCCCGAGGGACTGCGGGGGGCACAGCCGAGGCTGGGGGGACAAGGCTGCTCCGTGGCCATGCGGGGCTGCTGCGCCCTTGGGAATATTGCCCGTTCATACAGGCAGGATATTTTTAAACCCTCCCAAAATAGTCTGGGAGTGTGGAAGTCCCTGCAAGCCCCAGTGATGGGGAGAATGGGGGTAACTCCCCTGCGGTAAGCAGAGCCCCTCTGAGGACCCTTTACCCCAGACCCCCTTTGGTCACAGGTCTAGGGTGCTTAAAAGCAATTGGAACTAAACATGGTATTTTAAGCTGGATATCCACGAGGATCAATGACAGTGGTGCAAGTGCAAAATTCTCCCATTCTCCTCTAAAGTCCGATTTTTGGGGGAACCTGCTGTGGCCATGACTCTGAGGCAATAGCTTTGCAATCATGCACTGCTTGGAAAATTCCCAGCTGCTGGGATGAGGGGGGTTAAGGAGGGAGCAAAAAGACCTTCAACAGGATGAGATGCTCAGGTTAAATTTTTCATCAAAAGAAAACACCAGCTGCAAACTAATCACAGGTAGTAATGGGGAGATCCAGGAAGGAGCCCCCAGGTGACCCCTGATGTCAGCCTTCCTTGGCACTCCATGGCGGAGCTGAAATGGGATTTCTAGCCAGAAAAATCTGTGATTAGCACACAGACAAGTGATGTGACACAAATAACACTTTTCCTCACTCTCAAGCACTAGGTCAGTAAAGAGAGGTTTATCTCTTCCCACAGCCAGGTATTATGGGGAGCTGGGCAAGCCCTGGGGCCAGAGGGAGGTTTTTTGGTGAGAAGAGGTTGCTGTACTTCCTTTTTCTCACCATGAGATCCCCAAGTGAAGCACAGGCTGGTTTATGGCTCCTTGCAGCTGGGATGGATGTTGCAGATGCTGCTGCTATAGGGAGGGTCACAAAGGAAAGTCTCTCCCTACCCATGGCAACACTTGAGAAATAGCCAAGCCCCTTTCCCATGGCCAGGCTGTGTGGCAGTGAGATTTGCTGATGTTGTTTATCTCCCTGGGCTGTAAACTCTATGTTTTAAAGGAAAAAAAAACAGTGCAGCCAGATGTTCTTCCCAGCCATGCAAGTGTGTTGCCCTCCCCAGGTTGGAGACTGTTCCTTATGGCATCATAAGGAGGATCCCTGACGGGAGAGAGCAAAACCCGGTTTCTCCTGAGTGGCTGGGCACACTCTATGGGATGATCTAGGCACCTCTGCCGTGCCCAGTGCTGGCTGGTGACACTGGAACCCTGCCTGAGTTTGGGGGGGCAGCTGAGCCTGGTGGATTCCTTTGAAGGGCCCTGGTCACGAGCTCAGCTATCTTTAGCCCAAGGTATTTATATTACAAGGCTGCCGGGCAGTGAAGCAAAGGCATCAAAGGGTGGAGAAGGCCGGAGAAGGCTGTGGAGGGGCACAGCACCGAGGGGCATCAGGTCCTCCCCCACCCCTGAGAGCTGCTGAGGTCCCAGGCGAGGATGACCCCAGAAGAGGAAGGTTCCCAGGCAGGACCCCCGGAGCGGGTGCGTATCCGGGTGGAGGAGCAGTCATTCTCGGTGGAGAAGACCTTGCTGGTGGAGAGCAGTGAGTACTTCCGTGCCCTCTTCCGCTCGGGCATGAGGGAGAGCACTCAGGAGGAGATCGGGCTGGGGGAGCTGAGTGCAGCCGGGTTCCTCGCCATGCTGCGGGTGCTGGCGGGCGAGAGGCCCGTCCTTGGCAGCGAGGAGACCTTCCAGGCAGTGGAATGTGCTGCCTTCCTGCAGGTGAAGCCCTTGGCCAAATACTTGATCCACTCCATCAATTCTGACAACTGCATCCTGCTGTACCAAGCCGCTGCCATATTCGGCCTCCTGGATCTCTTCCACTGCGCTGCACTCTACATCAGGGACAGCTATGCTGAGCTGGAGGAGTACCTGGACTGCCTCCCCGATGACCTGCTGGCCTATGTGGAAGCCCTCCTACCCAGCACCTTTGTGGCAGTGGGTGCCCACACCCCCACCTTTGAGTTCTTGGAGGACCTCTCCAGGACCATCTGCTACCTGGACGAGGAGACCAACACGTGGAGGACCCTCTCCTGCCTTCCGCTGAGCGCCAGCACATTCCTAGCCGGCATGGCAACCATGGATAATAAGATCTACATTGTTGGTGGCGTCTACGGGGCCAACAAGCAGGTGGTGGAGAGCAGTTTCTGCTACGATGCTGATGCCAATGCCTGGAGCGAGTTCCCCAGCCCTCACCAGCTGCGCTACGATGTCAGGCTGGTGGGCCACGAGGGCTGCCTCTATGCCATCGGTGGCGAGTACGAGAAGATCTCGCTCAAGTCCGTGGAGAGGTACGACCTGGCCTCCAGCACCTGGACGTTCGTCTCTGACCTGCCACAACCGAGCACAGCAGCGCCCTGTGCCCAAGCCTTGGGGCAGATCTTCGTTTGCTTGTGGCAGCCACTGGACACCACTGTCATCTACGAGTACGAGACCCAGCAAGACGCGTGGCTTCCCGTCACCGAGCTCAAGCGGCACCAGAGCTACGGGCACTGCATGGTGGCCCATCGTGACAACCTCTATGTCATGCGCAACGGCCCCTACGACGACTTCTTGCGTTGTGTCATCGACTGCTTCAACCTGACGTCCCGGCAGTGGAGTGCCCTGCCCGGGCAGTTCATGAACAGCAAGGGAGCTCTCTTCACCGCCATCGTCAGGGGTGACACCATCTACACCGTCAACAAGATGCTGACGCTCCTCTACTCGGTGGAAGAGGAGACCTGGAAGCAGAAGAAGGAGCGGGCAGGTTTCCCACGCAGCGGCTCCCTGCAGACTTTCCTCCTGCGGCTGCCAAGACGTGACCATGACATTGCGACGTAGCTGGTCCCCCATCCCATGTCAGGATGCTCTCCTTGCACATGGCCTCAGCTCTGCACTCACTGCTCCCTGGGCTCCTCTCCTCCTCCATGGAGCTGTGCTCAGGCCCAGGGATGCATCATGTTGGACCTTGGAGGTGACATTAGACCCTGCCAGAGAGAAAGGCAGCTGCTGTCTGCCTCTTCCTGCCCTGCATGGGCACAAAGTCCTGTTAGCCATGAGCTCACAAGCCAGCTGTGTGCAGGACATTGTGGCTCCTGCAGAGGACAGGTACCACAGAAATGCAAATCTGGGATTTATTTAGTCTGACTGTGCTCTGAGGGTGTGCAGCATTCCACCTCCTCTCTGCCTTGATGGGAAATCATTCATTACATGCCGGAATTAAAAGGAAAGCTATAGAAAAGCTTCTCATTGCTGTGTTTTTCATTTACTCTTGTGGATTTTTTTCCTCCCGTGCTTCTGAAGGAAAATTCCTTCTAACAGAGATCTGTGTCAGGACTCGCTTCTGCCCCCAATGCTTTTTCAGCTGCGGCTCAGTTTCAGAGCCTCACGTGGGAGTGCAGTTCCCACAGAGCCCCGCACTCCCCTGGGAATTCTCTGTGGCTGCAGTGGGGTCCTGGGAGGAGGAGGGGAGATGGGGAATGAAGGAAAGCAGCTCCTGGGCATCAGGTGTTTAATGTGCCAAGGGTTTTCTGGGACCTGGGAACCATCAATCACCCCCCTCAAGCCCCAGCACAGACCCAACAGGGTGGCAAGTGCTGGCTCTTACCAGAGACTTGCTTGAGCCAAGTCAGGGTCTTTTGAGGACATGGCAAAGCTTGGAAGTACAGAGAGTGCCAAAAGGGAATGAGGGCTAGGGAGGCATTATATGGTGATACCAGGCTTGCAGAGCTCCACAGCCAGAGGATCTATTCCCATCACATCCCACTACCTGGTGTTGAGGGTTCACAGCCCTCAGCACCAGCTCTGGGGATTGCTGGGTGGCAGAGATCTCCCCTTTGTGACCACAGAGACCAGGGCAGCAGCTCAGCTGGTTTCCCATCCATGGGGCAGGCTTTGGGCTGCCTGTGCTGTCCAGGCCGGGAGGGAGCAGAAGGGATACCAGCTGGGATGCCTCAGATATGTCCGCTGCTGATCCCCGCCAAGTTCTCAGCATTTTCAAAACAGTTCCCACATTTGAGAATAAACCCACTCAACACAACTGCAAACCAAAACAAACCAGAAAACCCCAGCTTGCACCCACAGCCAGATGGAAAACCACTGGATGTGCCTTGTCCCCATTTGCTCTCTGCCACTGGGCCAGGCCACCACTCCGATGTCACCCATGAGGGGACTGCTGCTGGTGGAGCTGCAGGTCTGGTGGTGGCACGGGGGAGGCAGGGGACACTGACAGACCTGTCCCAGCTCTGCATTGTGGGCACTGTGAGCTGAGCAGCATTGCAGTCCCCAGGTGGCATGTTAGAGCAACCCATCAAATCAAATCATTGTCCCCTTCCCAGACAAAGCCAATTAACATTACAGACAATTCACAGAATTCTGTGAATTAACATTTCACATTGTCTTCTCCTGAGAGCAGCACATGGAAACATGTTGCTTTAAAACAATTTTAAGCTGAACAAACAGCTTAAACATCCATTAAAATGAAGTTAAAATAATTCTGTTACTAAAATATTTATGTTGGGCTCCTGTGGCCAACCCCAGACCACAGAACTTGGCAGGCCCACCCATACCCTCCAGCGCCAACACCAAGTCATACAATCTCCTCCTCACCTCCACATGCTGCTTCTTGACAGTTTAGGGGTTTACAAAGATATTTGTCAACAAAATGCAAAAGGTTTTAAGATTTTAAGTGTAGCACTTGAGGGAAAGTGTGAGTCTTGGCAGGCAGCTGAGTATGGCATGGATGCTCCCCAGAGCCATTTGTTGCATCCATCAATTCAGACTGTGATCCAGAAAGAAAACCAAAATAATTTTAGGTGCAAAGGGAGGAAAAAAAGATACATTTCTTACCTCTGCAAGAAATGATCCAAGATCCAGGACCAAGCAAACTAAGGAGGGCGAGAATCTGCTCAGCCTTTGCACAGTGAGTTGGCACAATGCTGACAGGGTGCTTTGCTCCACCAGAATTCAGCGCCACTGGCACCAGCACAGGCTCCTTATCTTCTCCTCTCCATCCTCACGGCGTTTGCTCCGCCAAAGATCACAGTTCGAGGCGACGCACTCTGCCTGATCACAGCTTAACCTTTTGCAAGTCTCGTTTATAAGGTGACATCATCTTGGCAAGGGGGAATGTAAGGAAAAGCTGTCTGTAGATGGACTTGCCTTATATGGGCCGTATCAAAAATAAGAGCTTGTATAACCAAGGGAAAGCAGGAGGAAAAACAGGGCTGGGAGTTCCAAAAAGAGCTCCCCAGGAATATATCCCTAGGACATACAGGGTGCCACATTTTCCGTTTCAATGCCATTAAAGAAGAGCAGGAATAAAGCATCTTTGGGGATGGATGGGTCAACTCCCCCAGAAGATGGATGCCAAGTTTCCTTGTTGCATCCAGGCAAGAATGAAGGCAGCCACAGAGAGCTGTACCTTCCTGTTGTTGTCTGGCACCTTCCTGGAGATCCAAGGAGAAGGGACATAGTGTTTTACCTTGATGGCAGCACATTGCACTGGGAAATTGTTTGGAAGAGTACAATGGAAAATGGTACAAATACAGCTAAGGATTTTCTCTGCTGGGTTGTGCCAGTTGGCATGCTGACAGAAAAAGACAAATGTTGCAGAAGAACCCCCCAAACATCTTTACTCAAAGAAATTACATCTAATTCACAAGAAAATAACATACTTTATGTGAAAACAGTGTCCACTGTTCCACTGCCAAGCCAAGACACACATCCTGTACAGTGATCTGGATCTCCCATTCTCTGTCCTTCAGTTACACACAGAAATTCCCTTGGGCATCCAGATGTTCCTGATGCTGACATTCATGCTTCACTTCATTTGGAACCACTGTCTTCACAGTTTAGGGAAGCATCCCCTGAATGTTCCTGATTTGGGCAGAGCATGAGGGCAGTGAGCAGTTCCCCATCTCTCTGTTCTGATCTCATGAAGTTGCCTGAGGACAAACCTTTTCCTCTACCAGTTTTCATTGCACTGGATAAACCTCATGTATTTCAGAGCAAGGGCAGCTTGTTTTCTTTCTTTATCCACATGGAACAGTGTATTTTCCTCACATTTCTAGTTTAAAAGGAGAAGCTAATGTGATCAAAGTGGATTTCAATATTCAATCACAACTAAGTCAGCTGAGACTCCTCCCAAGCCAGGACTAACACATGTTCCTGCAGGAGCCTTCAGATTTTAGGAAAACAATTTATTCTGTTGATTTATATAATCTTTTAAGAATATCCACTTATTTTAGCTGAAAACATGACACCCATCACCCCAGGTGGAGGGAGAACACTGGTTTGGTTTGGTTTTTGCAAAAATCTAAGCCGAAGGCAGTTTGGATGTTCTCTAATCTGAATAGCTGAGATGATCAAGGGTGGGGACGTGTGGGTGAGGAGATAAACATTCCTGCTATGCACTCAGTGCCTGGATGATAAACACTCTTATGATCAGTGTCCAGAAAATGAGACACCAATGCAGAGCTTTGAAGTTGTGTGTCTGGTGCTTCCAGGGGTGGGGATGGAGCAGCAGAATCACCTGAGTCCTTCTGGTCTGATGTGGAGAGGGTCTGTGACTGCTCCAGGATGCTGCTCAGTGGGTTTTCATCACAAGCTCTTCCAGCGCCCTCTCGCTCTGATTCCCACAAAGCAAAAGAACTTCTTTGACTTCATTTTGCTGGAAGCCCATATCATTAAACTGAGCCAACAGATACAAGAATTCAGCTGCCTGGAGGAAGAAGGAGGAGAGAATGATGTTATCATGGATGGATATATTGTGTGGTTGCAGAAAAAGCAGTGTTGTGGGACAAGGCTGCACTCAGATCTGGCTGAGTTGTATCACTGTGACAGCAGATTGAGGGCACACATATCCCTGGTAGCATTGAAGCTTCTTAAATAAGAAATATTTAATAAAGTCAGCCTCTAGCTTCACTATTCCTTGTACTATTTATATCAATTCCATGCAGTATTTGCCTGCATTATGAAGAGAGCAGGGAATGGCAGTGAGCACAGCTGGAATTCATTTGTCCTGCTCCCCTGCTTTGCTCAGGCTGAGCCCCAGCACCACAACATCATCTGGAGCCGTGTCCTCAATAAACAAACCCTTCCCTGACACTCAGACCCAGGCATTCTCCCACTGCCACTGCCCTAAGGAGCAGTGACACGGCAATCCTACAGGCATCGGCATCCTGGCAAACGCTGCCAGCCTGGATTTCATGCAGCTCTGCCTTCCCAAGCTCTCCATTACCCCCAGGGGGAGACTGATGATGGAGACAAATGCCCAGTTCTCCATGGTTCTTCTCCCTGGGGGTAGAAGGGAGAGCTGGCAGGGCAGGAGACAGTGTGAGTGTTGGTGGGCTCGGGACAGGATTCCCACACAAAGACTGAGTGAGCATCGTGACACACAACAGTGGGAAGAAGGGTGAAGAGTGAAGGAGCAGGTGAAGGACCCCAGGGGTCCTTATGGTGACACTGCCCTAGGGGTCTGGCCCTCCATGAGGCTGCAGGAGGGCCTGTGGAGGCAGAGGGAGGTGTGCAACCCACTGAAAAAGAGAGCCTGGAGGACACAGCACAAAGGGCTGGGCTGTGCCATCCCATTCTGACCTTTTTCTCCGAGTACTGGAACATTTCCATGGCTTCCTCCACCTGCCCTTCCTCATAGCCCTGCTTCAGCAGCCGATCACAGGCACCCAGGTAGCTCAGGAACTGCAGAGGAAGACAGACAGGTTAATCCAGCCTTGCAGGCATGGGGAGCAAGGCCAGTCAGGAGCCCCCTTGCCACCTCCCAGGGACACACCATGGAGGGTACATGAGCCACAGTTCCCATCTAATGCTCAGCCAGGGAGGTCTGTCTGTCTGTCTGCAGGATTTCCAGTGGGAGACAACGTCTTGGTCCCCCTTCACCCTCCCAGGATGGGAATGGGAACAAGGAGGAAACCAAACATGTGAACACTGGAGATGCAGAGTGATGGCCTCCGGGGTGAGGCAGAGCCTGTCCCGCTGGGATGACTTCACTCAGCTGACCCCGCATCCCTTTGATGCAAAGGGGTTCAGGCACCCGTGGGTTTGCTCCAGGGTCCAAGTGCAAAGCCCACCCCAGGGGAGACCTGTGTGCTGTCATTACTGAAAGTAAACAGTTATTTTTGGCTTTCCTTGTTGTTCTTGGAGTGCTGACAGCACAATTCCCAGCAGCACCTTTTAAATATCGCAAGAATCACTCGCTGTCCAAAAACATATGGGACAGGCAGTAATAAATGAGCTATACAATAGCAGGGGGAATGAAAACATCCCACAGGTCTCTCCAAAGCTTCTCCATCCAAGGAGAAGCTGATTCATTTCTCCTCCGATTTACCAGCACACAGACCTCCACCTTCCCCAGCACTGCCATAGACAAGGAGAAGGACTCAGTGAAAGGCCATAAAACATATGAAAAAGACAAAAATGTCTCTCAAACATTGAGTTGATCTATTTTGTCAAGTAGGGATTTTCAGAAATATCAGCCTTAAGGCTGTTACATCCCAGTAACTCAGAAAGGAGACAGTCACTGGTCATTGGCATTCTTCACCTCATGTTTTTTCCCTTGTTATCAGGCTAATGACAACCCCAGATCATTGCTGTGTTTTCTTCTCCTCTTGTGGCAGAACAGCCACTCACGCACAGAGTAACACAGATAGTCCTGGCAGCCTGGTCAAGCCCAGCATGAAATCAATGCCTTTGTTAACTCAACTTATTTCATCACTAAAAATATTATATGTATATGTATATATATCCTCAAGACTAAACAAGAAGAGTTTTTTGTAACACTGACCAGCTGCAACTTTTGTCATGTCTCAGCTTATATGTACATTGAGGGGTCCATGGACCAATGATAAATTTTGAATTGATCATTGATCAAAATGCAGTGGTGCCTTTTTGGCCATGACATCCTACATGATGAATCTCTGGCATGCTGAGGTAATTAATCCTGCTTGAGACTTTCAGAGAAGTTCTTCCACCAAAATTAGGAAAGCACTGCTTCTAAAGAAGGCTACAGAAGGCCTTGCCTTCTCTACTAGGGTGGGCTCTGCCAGTTTCACTTGACACTGCAAGGAAGTTGAGCAATTTTTGGCTACCATCCAGTACTTCCATCAGTCCTCACAGTTGAAATCGTCATTGTCACACATCGATACCTTAGGTATCAACAGCAAGCAATAAAGAGCACAGGTCTTCCTTTTAACTTCAGCTGGAACATATTTTCCAGGAAGATTTAGACTACTTTGGTAGTTTGATACTTGTAAAAGATGCATGAAGAACCATGCTTTATCTTGGCTGCACTGGGTATAAATGGGAAAGATGGGAACTGCTGATGAAGAAGGCAGACCTTGTCTTTTGGTGCAGTAGGGAGTGCTGCAAGGAGTGGGAGTCCTGGTGTTTATACAGAAGGGAACAGGCTGTACCCATTTCCACCCTTAATAAGACACACTGCTTCTTCATTTTGAAGCCAGCAGCTGCTACAAGACGCCCTCGCATGGCTCTGTGAAACAACATGGGCTGGGCTCTGCCCATCTCTCTGTGCCTAGATGAAACCTCTATGGACTGAAGACATAAAGCTTCCCTTCCCACCTCAGCTCACTTGAAACTCCAGCGAGCTCTGGGGAGCTGGTCCAGCTGGCGTGAGTAAGGAGGGAGCTGGAAGCTGCAGGATGACCCAGCCACAGAGCAGCTCCGTGGCCCATGCAGCAGAGGCAGCTCCCAGGGGAATGGGAAGGAGACTGGCAGCTGGCAGCAGCTGCTCAGTGCTCTGCCTGCTCATGTCCTGCCAGGATCTGCTCCTGCTCCCTGGCTTGACAGCCTCATGGATATTCTTCTTGCTCAGCTGTGATTAAGACCCTTCTCTCTTTGCAATAACTACTTTGATAATTTAGCCCTAAAATCCTCTGCTGGGATGGGCAGGTCCAGCCCCAAGTTTGCCAAGGGAGTCAAAGCCAGCAGCTTGCCTCATGTCATGAGCCTCTGAGCCCACCTGGACCTTTCTGACATTCATCTGGACAACCAGAGACATTGGGAATGAGGATGCAGCACAGCAGGCAGGGATGTACTCACATACCAGGGGTACGAGGAGGCTGCAAGCTAAGTATTTTCAATAAATTTCAGGTTATTTTAGAGGGTTCCTTGGGAAAAGAGCTCTGGGACTCGGTTGCAATGTTTGCAAGGATTCCCTGCTTGCTCCAGCACAGGGAAGTTGTGTTTTGGAGAGAGCCCAACGAAATCTCCAACGTATTCCTACAGTCCCGCTCTGACAGGATGAGCCATGGCAATAATCACACGAATCCAACAGCTGGGAAAAATGATGTGCAAAAAGTTTCCATATATGGGGGCAAAATTTGTACCTCAAAAGGACATGATGCTTCACACAACAGATTGAACAGATAACAAACCAGCCGTGATTATGCACTGAGAAGCTAAGGGCGACTCATTGCTATTTTATTACAGCAAAAGTGTAATCTCATGGAAAATCCTGTCATCTGTGGTCTGACACCAAAGTGGAAAGGCAAAGCTTTCAAAAATCTACCCCACAGAAGACAGCCATTCCTTTCTCCATGAAAATCAAGCTTTCCTTTACCAAAAGTTTCTCACAAGGCTGTGCCAGCTCTACCAACCTGACTTAAGCTTTGCCTTCCTGTCTTCTGGAGGGTGAGGATGGCTTTCTGGGTGGGGTAGCCCAGGGCTATGACAGGCTCGATGAGGTCTCTCTCCTCTTGGCTCAGTGCAGAGAGCAGGTCAGCAGAGGAATCTGGCTGGGATCTGTGGCAGCTGAGAGGTCGTCCAGGCGTGGAGGCAGGGGGGAGGCAAGTGTAGGGGCTGAGGGACTGCAAGGAAAAAAACAGATGGTCTTATTGCTCCAAGTCATGGAATGAGCTGAAACAACCCAGGGTGAGGCAATGCTTCTTTATACTGATGTTTACCTTGCTCTCTCCAGAAGAGGAAAATTCCCATACAAGGAACATCAAATAAGCATCAAATGAGACTGGACTTAATTAAATCCAGGCTCAGCTATAGATACAGGTCACAGAAGAGTGTTCAAGGTGGGTGTTGTACAAATACACATGGGCATTTAATCTCTCCTTAATTACTCCATGTCAAATGCAACTGTATATAAATAACTTGGTAATTCAAGTGTCTGATGCTTTTATTGCAAGTTTTCAGTAATTCATCTCCTACATCTCTCAAGCAGCTGAATTAGATGCAATTTCTTAAAAGCAGGGTGCAATTCAGATTTAAGTTGACAGAGTGCTATTTACTCCATCCTTTCACATCACTGTCTCTATCACTAAATGATCTGTATTTCTAGTAGGACTATGAAGTCCAAAGTTTCCTAGAAAAGACTGTAAGGGGACATTTTCCTATAAACCCCACTTTTATCTGTTAGAATGGGATAATGTAGCAAAAAGAGGACAACCCCTCCATATTTCACTCCTCTTTTAGTGTTTCAATTGAAAATCAGATTAGACCCTGCTTGGGAAAAACACAGATGTTTTGGACAGAGAAAGTAAATGTGCTCCCAGAAAGCTTCTTTCAACCTCAGTGACAAAATCAAACCCTTTCTTCACTTCTCATGAAAACTTCAGCAATTCCTCATGGGTCCAGTGTTTCCAAAGCCCCATTTTGCTTCCTTTTTGCTGGCCAACCCTCATCAAATGAGACCAATTCGATGCCCCCCACCTTCCTCCTCTCTCAGTGATGAACAAAGGAAGCTTCTCACCGGTATCGTGGGCTTGTGCTGCTTGATGGGAGGAATCAGTGTGGCTGTGGCCGGAGGAGTTGGCACACTGGTCCCCTGCTGGGACACATCAGGATCTGGCCCATACTTGACGCTGCGGTTGGTGCTGGGGCACTGGGGCAGCAGCCTTGGCACCAGGATCCCCCTGCTCCCTGTGGCAGCTCTGTTCAAAGGATGCACCAAAGCAGCCAGCTTCCTCCTGGCGGCTCCCAGCTCGTTCTTCATATTGTTAAATATCACCATGGATCTTCTCTGCTTGCTGGGGTCTGGGCTGGCTGGGCTGTGGATGTTGTTCTCTGGTGAGGGCTCCAGCAAGCCGGGCGATGTCTTTGGTCGGGTCTGGTAAAAGCCAGGGCGTGAAGACACACTTCTCGCAGAGCTTCTCCTCCTGGAGAGAAGCGTTTCGTCCTTGTCATTCTCTTCCCAAGAGGTGGAGGAGTATTCATCATCCGAGTACTCGCCCTCCTCCGAGTGCCAGGTGTCACTCTCGGTGTCGGACAGGACCGCCCTGCCCTTGGCGTGCCCGTAGGAGCTGTCGGCAGCGCTCAGGCTGATGGAGCGCCGCACTGCCCCGTCCCGACCTCGCCCCCCGTAGCTGTCGGCGGGGTCCACCAGCAGCAGCCAGCACGGGGGAGCCGTGGGGACAACTTCAGAGGTGACTCGATGGCGGGAGGTTTGCTGCTGAGAGGCCACCTCCACCCAGTACAGCACTTTCCTTTCCAGCGAGAAGTCGTGCTGCGGAAGAGCGAGAGGCAGCGGGTGAGGACATGAGAACCCAGAGCACGTGGCATGGAGCAAACTGTGCACTCCACGAGGCTCTTAAGGGCTGCAGCCTTCCCATATCAGCTCCTATTTCCCTGAGCATTAGGGCTGGCAGTAGGATTGGGCAGTGCCAGCCTCATCTCTGTAGGGAATCCCCAAATTTATACGTCAAAAAAGTCTTATCTATCAAGTCACTATTGTGAGTTGCACCTACAATTCTTTGGAGAAGTATTTTATGCTTGGAGGTGTTTGTGTCCCTTTGACTGTGGGAGGCAGGAGTGTGCAGACATCCCAATTTTAGGCAGCTTCAGAGAGGCACCGTGTCCAGGCATAGGCTGTCCCCAGAATGGTGGCAGAGTTTGTTTGTGACCCTCATTAGCAGCGCTTGGCAGAGCCACTTCAGGGGCTCAGAAGCCAGCAAGAGGGATATGCCACCTCGGGCAGAAGCAGAACCAGCCATGAGATTATCTAGTGGCGCCAGGGTCTCGGCTGGTCCCCAAACAGAGTTGTCATTTCCACATAGTTCAGCTTAAAATATAAGTGTGTTTGTGACTGAAATCTGAGGGTTTTCCTGGAACAAACAAGCCTTGCCTGTCCCAGAGCTCTCCAAACAAGGTCTCCTCCTGACAGGCAGGCAAGTACATTCACAGCCCAGGAATGCTGTTTTTAGTTCTTGCCACTTGGGTCAGCTGTGGACCCAAATCAGCCTCCCCAAGGAAAACACCCTCACATCCCTCCATAAGGATCAGGCTGGACCAGCAGCACAATGGTTTAGCCTCAGAGGGGAACATCAGATCATTGCTAAATAGGGAGAAATACTGGGTGCATACATATATATATATATATATATGTATATATACACACACTATCTATATGCTTCCAGCACAAGTAGTATTGCTTGCTTATAGCTGGTAGATTTATTGGTAAGTATTTCATAAATATTATTAATAAATGAGACAGTGATAACTCCAAAGTAGAAAACAACCCCAGAGCAGAGCCTGAAATTTGTCCTCCTATCCCAGAAACCCCTAACTTTACTTCTTGGAAAGGATTTTTAGAAAACAACCCCAAACCAACCCCATCATCACTGCCACACACCACTAGTCATCCTGACCTCCACACAATACTGCTGCAAACCAGCCAGTGAAGAGGAGATCAGTCAGGTGGTTTCCCTTCCCTTCTTTCATGAGAACACTGCTGACATCCCTTTGAGCATCCCCCAGCAGTGACTTGGGTGTGGACTCACCATGGTGCTCATGAGGATGTCAGTGCAGTCAGGGACCTCAATGTCTGGGGCAGTGACTAAAGGGATTTCTCCCTCTGAGTCCCCACTGAGGCTCATGGCTGTCCGGAAAGGAACTTCATCCAGGTAGTTCATTGCTGCTGCCTGATTTCTTGCTGCTGGAGGAAGGGAAAGAGAAACTGTAAGAGCATCTCTTAAACTGGCTGGAAGGAGAGAAAGATGAACTGTTTTGAGTGCCAGCTGGGTAAAAACAGATTGGTAAAATCTTAATTACTGACATCAGCAAGCTTTGTCTGAACTAACCTTTGCTATTCTCAGCTTGAGCCAGAAGGACTTGACTGAGCTTATGGCTTCCTTTGGCAGAGATCCTGAGCATTTTTCTCCTCCATGCTTGCCCTGCTGCTTCCCATCACTCCTGTCTCTCCCTCTCCCTCTGGTGCCATTGCACACTCCCTTCCCCAGGCACTTTTTCCAGTTACAGAGGGAGAAAGCACAGCCAAGGAGGACAGCTTGCAGGTGTCCCCTGTCTGCACAACCTGTGGTGACAGAGCTCAAGCCCATGGCCTCGTGCAGCTAAGCCATCACACAGAGCATCCCGAGGGAGCTGGGTGAGGGCATTCCTTCGGGCACTGCAGCAGCTTACTGGAAGCCAGGCAAGGAGACGGTGCATCAAGCAAGCTTGGGAATTAGGAGGATGTCAAGCCATTTCTAAGATTAGCTTTTAGGAACCATGCATTCATTTTAAATGTGGTGATGGTTTTAGATCAGGAATTGCAGGGGAGAGAAAAATTGCTGGTGAATTGGGAATGCTGTCAGGGAAAATATTACTTCAAGTGTCGCCATCAGGTCACTCTATAAATGTCTCAGTTTACTGAAAAGCCATTACTTGCTGCATGAAGCCTTGAGCTCTCAGCTTCCCAGTGATGACAGTGTGTAAAATCACTTATTTTATAGATTATAAACTGTTAGAAGCTGGTAGCCAGTCTTCCACCAAGTTCTGGTACTGGCAGCATGTGCCTGCTCATCCCAAAGTCCTCAGCACTCATCCTCAGGTCACACAGTAAATATGTATGTGACATCCCTAAGTGCTTTTCCCAATTACGTTTTTCCTTTAAAAACAAACAGCTTCTACGACAACAAGGATAAACATTCCACTAAAAGGAAATATGCAGAGGAATATACACAAGGATGACAAAACTGCCTGTTTAAAGCAAAAATAAAGAGTCTATAATGGGGGATGGTGTTTGGGGCAGTTTCCTGTGTTGGCAAAGGACTCACAAAGACCTTCCAGGCCAGAGAAAGTGACACCCACAATCCACATACACAATCACTTGGGCAACTCAGCAGGTTGTACCAGAATATCAACAGGGTTGTCACTTTGCCTGCTTACACCAGGAGCCTTTGATACCCCTGCACAAGCAGAGCCCCTAACAAGCTTTGTGCTCCTGCACATGTCCTGCCATTAATACGCAACACAGGCAACGTGATGGGATCCCACGTGGAGCCAGGCCATCTGCTCAGCTCAGGAGGGCTCAGCCTAAGGGACAACCCACGTCAGCACTGACAAAGGTGATGCCTGAAAACATCTGTAAGCAAAGCCACCTTCCCTCAGCTTTCTGCTACTTCCTGAGCAGCTCCTGCATGCAGGGGGGACTGACCTTCCCTGCAGCTTGGGCTGTAAACTGGCTCTTCCCAAAATCCCAGGGTGCTGAGGAAAGCTGTGTCTCAGCATCTGTCACCCAGAGTGGCTCCACTCAGGTTCAAATGATACTTTAAGGGATGGTGATGGGTAGTGAGTGTGTCTGAAGCCACAATGAAGAAAATATGAGAAGATGATGGTATTGTACCTCTCTGTATTTCACTGTGTAAATAGTGTGCTTTAAGAGAGACTCACACAAGTGTTAATTCCAAAACCCACAGTTTAGAAAACAAGTACTTTGAGGCAGGAACAATCACAACAAGAATGCTACTAGAAGAGGATAAAAGAGGGTCAGTCATAAACACCAATTCTCACCAGAAGGGAACTCCTACAAGGGCTCTGACCTCATGTTCTCCACACCAACCCTGCCCACTTTCACATCGACACTGGCCAGTGCACAAACCAGTTCACATCAGGAAGAGGATATACCTAAACAGCAGGAAAAACACAAACTGCACCAAGACCAGGGGAGGAATAGGATACAAATGAATCTTGGAAACTAACAGCCAACCTCTCTCTTCTTCTGAGCTACACTAAGTTTTTAAAATTTAAAAACAGTGGGAAATACTATACTCAGAAAAATGGGAATTGAGTCTGAACACACTTTTTAAATTAATACCCTGTGTCCATGTATTTTATGAGTTGAGATTTTAAACGTTCCTCCCCATCTATGGCTTCAACATCTTCCTCACTAAAGCTATTAAACATTTTAATGCAGAGGTTGTTAGACAGGAGCAAATACACAGAACACACCGAAAGATGGATCCTCCCCTGGCATTTTCAAGCCCTATGTTTATTAGCAATATGAAGCTGTCCTTACCATCAGATGAACTCATGGAGCTCTCTCCTCACAGGGCAGGGAGAACAGGGCTGCTGCTTTGCTGCCTCCTTATCTACTGCTCAGCTCTTTAAATTCCTGCAGTGTCAGACAAGCAGCTGACTTGGACAGCTTTAAGATAATCATAGCTTAAGCAGTTGGCCTGTTCTATCAGACATGCTGATGGGATAAGGAGTTTTGTTTAATTGTTTAAGCAGAGCATCCTCTGGTCACTAAACTGCCTGAACTGAAAGTGCTGGGTTTGTATTGGTTTTATGCAGTTGTTTTTATTTTTATATTTGATCTTGTGTGTTTTCATCAGGGAAGATTCCCCAGGATCTGACTCAGCCTTGGGTTTGGAGTTATGAGATACTAGAAGGGACATTAGGGATGGGAGGATGTAGAGAGGAGCAAATCAGAACACCAGCTGCAGAGAACTTCATGGCAATCTGTATTTTGGGGTGCTACAGGTGAGCAAGAACTGCAAACTTCTGCACTCATGTTCTATCAGGAACTACCAGTTCATGTCTCTTACTGACAAAAACCAGGGCAAAGGTTCAGCCAGGACACCACTAACATGACACCTAAGGCCCAAGTACTGAATTTAGGCAATGACACAGGTGAATTACGCACGGCTGTGATGCCCAGAGGCAAAGCACTGGAGAGATTAACTCAATTCCCACACACTGGAGCTAAGCAAGAATAAGGACTGCAGCTCTGGAAAGGTGCCACAGCAATCTGTGCAGAACAGCAAAGCTCCAAATCCATATGGCCCATCACAGTTACAAGCAAACTGTCCAGAACATGGAAAGCTTTGATATCAGGTGTCACCTCTGTCACTTTGCAGGAGGGAGTTCCTTCACACAAACCTTTTCCCAACAATTCTCTCCTTGTTGGAGTTGTATTCGATACAAGTACTCAAACAAATCTCTTCCCTAGCATGAAAATGCTTTAAACAAAAATCCATTTTTCTCTACTTGTTCTGTACAAAACAACCAGCTTACAAAATAAAGCTGTTATTTTTAATCAAATATGATAGAGATGATATGTCCCTATACAAAAATATCTATATAGTCAAAACACTTACAGTAGGTTAGACTTCAGATTTTATTAGGTTTTTTTTCCAGCAGGCTTATTCATCAAATTTGTATTTATTCACATGGCTGTCTGACCTATTTTACCACAACTGGGAATTTTTTCCATGTTTTGGTATCAGCTTTAGTCCACAAAAGTAAAATGTCAACAGCCGCTTTAATCAACCTTGAAAAACCCTGTCTTGTTTGTACTTTAGAATTCGTTTAAACTTGCAATAGGTTTGTTTCTACACCCAAAAATACAGGAATTATTTTGACAGTGATGCTTGACATGCTTCATTTCAGAAGAAAAACATGTTTACTTAATGACCTCTTCTTTTTTTTTTAATTTCTTCATTTCTGAAGTTTTCATCATCCTTTATAAAGATAAAAGCCACTAAAAATAGGATGTTAATACTGGCACAAATACCACCATCAGCATTGTTCCTTTATTAAGATTGAGATTTAACACGAACTCGCAGCTGGATTGTAATTCCACACCACGAGAGGCCTGGCAGCTCTGGGCTTGCTCAGCTATCTCCCTGCACAGCCAATCAGCAAAAACAATTCTTAAAACATTTTTTCAAGATGTTGCAGTAAAGACATTCCAATACCTGGCTGCTGAAACAGAGGACGAGACTTCCTCTTTGGACCCTCTCATATTTACACGTAATTATAACGAAACAATCCTCCAACGCTGGAATAATTTATTGTAAATTATCTGACAGCAGTGGCCCAAGTGTCATTGGTGGGGAGACTCGGGAGAACCCATCCTGGAGGGATGCAGCTTCCTTCGGGGTGGTCGGCTGGCACCAAGTACTGATCCCATTCATGCCTTTAACAGAGAGAGTGTTGTTTGAGAGCAGAGCTGGGATTAATTTGGTGGTAAGACTTACACACCCACATAGATGTTACTGATCGATACAAAACCCACAATACTTGTACTCTTAAACTTGTTTCTCAAAAGACAAATGTGAAAATTCAATGTTCTGGTGTTAAATGGAATGGTTATGCATGGAAGTGCACTGTGCCTCACATGGGCATCTGTTGGATATGACTCAAGCAAGAAACTCGAAAAAAACAGAACAATCCATTGCATAACCATATTTGGAAGCTGACAAACCAAAAGGGGCACTGAATTTACAATTGCAAAAAACAGTGTTTGTCTTCCCTGATGATAAAATACTTCCTTTGGTTTTACCTGATCTGGATTAGAGCTGCTACAGAATGTTCAGCTTGTAAGTAGTAGTCTCTGAAAGGCTGCAGTAGATGGGCGAGTGGGAATTCAGCTGTGAAAACACAGACACAGAAATTGTTTAATAATCTAGAAAAACCTTCCATTCTAGCCCATAATTTGCAAAATCATTTGCTACTGCCCAGATGTAATCTGACATCAGGTCCATAAGTAATATATGAAACACTGATTATATGTTACACATTTCCTGGTCTGTACCACAGCTGTCAGAGGAAAGCCAAGACTAGCAAAACCACCTGACTCCACCATCTAAAAAAGGGGAACATATGAACACTGAATCTTTACAGATTACCTGAGTTACTCTTACCAAACCACCAGATTAAAGCATCTATGGTTCTGGAAGTATTCAATCTATTCTGTTTATTCTCACTTCAGTTTAATCTACAACCTCTTCTTGCAAAACAACATGAAACCAGCTTGAGATGTGCTGCAGTCCATGTTGGAAGAGCTCTACAGTTCCTCTTACACCACAGGTGTTAACAGCACTATGTTTATCCCCCATTCTCAGACCATAAATTACTCCAGTGGATGATTCCTTTCTCAACTAGATCTGTGCCTGCATTTCAAATCCAGTGTCTGTGAGATGGGGATGTGATGTGGAAAACCACTGTTAAGAACAGGAGGCAGAATTTACCTGGATCCCCAAACAGCTTAGAATCCATTTCCAGTTTCTGCTGTAGTAGTCTTTCCCTTTCCTTCTTCTGTTTCTTTTCCATTTCCCTCTTCCTTTCCTCCTCCTGTTCTCCCTCCAGCATAACCTTTAATGCTCTTTCTTCAGCTTCATACAGTTCTGTGCGAGTTTTGAGCAATGTTTGGAGACTCTCCACCTGATTTTCAAATGCTTCATCTGCTGAAGGAGGTGGGCAAACACCTGAACAGAAACAGAAGTGATTTTAAGTTTTCAGATTCAGAAGGGGGCTTGAAACCAGACTTGAGAGCAGAGCTTGCAAACTGTGAGAGGAACATGAGCTTAACCTTGTTAACAGGCAGAATTCGCACTGGAATAATCCTTCTTCCACAAAGAGCTTGGAAACATATGAACACAACCACTGAATTCAGCACTTTGTACCTATTCTTGTAATTAAAATCACAATGAAGACACAGCTTTTTGAAGCTGTGCCTTGCTAGTCAGCACAGGGTACCCTCATCTTATTTCCTGTGTGTGCAATTACAAAAGTTTAGACCAGTCTCATAATGAACCTTTCCTGGCAGCAGCTTCTTTCCTCAGTTTCCGAAGCTTTTCCAGCCCGCGCAGGATGTCCATCATCCTCTTCGTATCTGCTTGTTTCTTCCGGACTTCAGACAGGACACTGTCAGCAGCAGCCTTCAGCTCTTGTTCCTAGGCAAGGAAGGAAAACAACAGATGAGATGTGTGAAATATTCCTCAAAGACACAAATCAAATGGTATTTTCAGACATTATCAAAGCGCTGAAGAGCAGAGTGACTTCACAGTAACAGCAACAAGTCAAGTCAACCATCCAGCCTTGACTTTTTATGAAAAAAGGCTAAAATACCACAGACTTCAGAAAAAAAAATAATGCTGTGGGACTCATAAATCTGGGCCAAATCACAGAATCATGGAGTTGTTAAGGCTGGGAAAGATCAAGTCCATCTGTCAATCCAGAACCACCACCATGGTCACCACTAAACCATATCCTCAAGTGCCACATCCACACATTTTTGAACACTTCCTAAATGATTTATGAATTATGAAAGCCTGAGAACCTTTAACCAGAGAAACTTAGGGTAAATACTTTACAATAAACAGAAATCATCCCAATTCCACAGTTCTGCAAATAAGACCATTAACCTGCCACAGTCTGACCACAAACCCTTCCTCAGCAGCTGCTCTGGACCATCCCAGCAGTAGAACAGCAGAAAGGGAGTTCTTTAGCCAAAAACAAACAGAAAGGTGCCTACAGCACTTCCCAGTCTAATTTGAGGTGGTATTTTTTGCTTTGGAGATGTTTTACTTCCCCATGAGATCAAAAAGCTTGTAAAACACAAGCCTTAGAGGGATGAAAGCAGGAAGTAAGGCTGATGGATACTGAAACAGCACGGATCACCACAGGGTAGCTGTGTGGACAGGCTGACACTTGGGACCAGAGAGGAAAACCTCCAGGAGTTCAGAAACAACTTAAACCCCAATTTCATGTCAAGGCGTAGAATATGAAAATGGCAAAACCGAGATGCCCACCAAGACTTCTAAGCAAGAAGTAGGGCTGCAGACCTTGGAAACAGCACGTCTCTCAGTAGGCTGAAGTCATGCAGCACCTCAGTGAAGCAAGGGAGTCAAAGTCAGGTGTGGGGCAGGCACAGCCCGCCGTGACCCCACTACCGGCAGGTCAGCCCTGCCCCACCGTGCTGTCCTGGAGCCCCGGGGAGAGGCAGGACCAGGCACTGGGGACCATACCCGGTTCTTTTCTTCCACCTCCTGGATGCACTTAGCCCGCCACTGGTCGATCTTGGCCTCCCGCTCGGCGGCTCGGGCCGCCTCCTCTTCCTTGGCCGCCCTGGCTTCGTGCTTCCTCCTCTGCAGGCGCAGCCTCCTCTTCCTCGCCCTCTCGGCCTTCCTGCGCAGCGCCTCGCCGTACCCGGGCTCCCGCAGGGGCCTCACGACCTCTCGCAGCTCCCGCAGCGCCGCCTCCGCCTCCTCCCGCGCCCGGGCCCAGCCCGGCTCGTCGCCCCGCTGCTCGCTGCGCCGCAGGGCCCGGCACAGCGCGGCCAGCCGGGACACCCGGCCCAGCGCCGCCACCGCCACCGCCGGGCGCTGCTGGGGCTGGCGGCGGCGGGCGGCGGCGGCGGCGGGGGAGCGGCGCGGCGGCGGCCCAGGAACTGCGAGAGCCACAGCTCATCCTGCTGCCGCTGCACCGCCTCCTCCTCGGCCGCTGCCCGCGGCGCGGCCGCCGCTAAGTAGGGGACGCCCGGCGGGAAGCGCGGTCCCCCCTCACCCGCAGCCGGCGGCGGCAAGAAGAAAGGCGGGGGTGCCGCCGGCCCCACCACGAAGGGCGCTGGGCGGACGGCGGGGCCGGGGAAGGGCGGCGGGAAGGCGCGGAAGGGCGGCGGGAGGCGGGCGGGGAAAGGTGGCGGCTGCGCCATGATCCCGCCGCAGCTCTCAGCCCTCAGCCCCCTCAGCGCCCTCAGCGGCCCCGACAGCGCCTCAGCGCCGCCACAGCGCCCCCTGGCGGCCCGGAGGACCCGCCCCACCCGCCTCTCGCTCCGCTTAAAAATTAAGTTTTCAAAACTCTTAAAAATTGAAATACCTGAGGATTGATTCAGGGATGACAACTCGCCACTGCTTGAATATTCGCTTTTATTCAAACGCCAGAGGTGAAGTACAAACTGTAATTACATGGCATTTTTGTTTCCTTAAAAACAGTTCTTGGTTACAGAATTCCAAACAACTTTCAAAACTAAGTTGTTGAACAGTTTCACCTAAAATGTGGTGTCTTTTCTATCTGTTTAAAAAAAGGATTTGAATTAAAGGATTCGGAATTAAAAGCTGTTATGTTCTTTCACTCTACAAAAAGGAAAGTGAGGATGCAGTTACAGATAGTTCACCACAAATTCCCATTTTGAGGGACCAAGCTGCTAGAAATACCCTCCACTCCAAACACAGCTTTTTCTGAACCATTAGTGGGTCGTTTATCCTGAAAAAAATCTGTAATCCCGCGGGAAGTATCTGTTGCACCTGGCTACAACTGCATGTCACACTGCTGCTAGGGAAGAACACAAGAATTACACAGAATTTACATGACAAAAATCAATAACAAAAATAGGGTCAATAGATTTTCAGTATCCTTTCCTGTCCTAAAACACCCACTAGACTAAAAGGAAGGATGAAAGTTTTATTTAAATAGTGTGAATTAAAGTTTTAGGGAAGCTCAAGTCCACATTTTCACCAAAGGACAAAACAAACTTTTAAGTGACAATTTTAATTCCTGAAACAAATCAAAAACATACAGGTCCTTTAGTGTTTTTACAAAGGCTTTCCTAAAGGATTGAATTAATTTTGGTGGAGAACAGAAGAGGGAGGATTGCTTGCTGTGAGACTAAAATCAAAGACAAATCCACAAGATGCAATACTAGCATTTGAGAATATAACTTAAAAAGCACTGTCATGTGAACAATCACTACTGATTACAGCAAAAATATTATACATTTACTTCTTTCCTCTCTTAACATTATAAGATAGGTTGGGCAAATACCTGGCACCAAAAAATTGATGCATGATAGTTCCAATACGTTAAACAAAATGTACTATATTAGAACATTAATATTTAAAAATTTATATTGACTTCTCATCCAAATTTAGATGGTTTTACTGCTTCCTAGGAATCTTGTTTACCCCTCTGGAAAACCAGACTTCACCTTCTTTCACAGTATCCAAGGTGATTAAAGCTCCCAATGGAGAGTGAAGGGTATTACTATTGGATATTCAAATGACT